GAAGGAGGGCTGGACTGGATGGCCTCAGGTCCCTTCCTCACGGCCTCGCGGCATTAGGAAGGTTGAGGGATAGGCAGTGACCCCCAGATGCCCATCCCAGCTCTCCCCAATGCGTGGCTCATGTTCTTTATCGTGGCACAATTCATGTTCAGTGTTGAACATGAACACAGTCTGCCGTTCCGGAGTGACTCATCCCCTCCTTAGGCATTCCGTGCTGCTTCTCTGGCTGTCTTTGTCCTCCTTTGACAATGAGTTCGGAGAGCATCCCTCGGCTATTTGAAGGTGGCCAATTTGTCACTCTTCGGGATGGGAATAAAAAACATATCAAGCACTGACATTTGAAGCAAGCTTTTTAAAAAACGATAAACCAGGTTTCTCATATTACCTTTTGGGGGCTAAAGCTGAGTCCAAGGCAGAGCTTGGAAACGTTCCTCTTTTGTGGCGCAATTCTCCAGCTAGCATAAACCAGTGGCTTTTTGGACCCAAATAAAAACCTTCCTACTATTTATTGGACCGTGTTCTTACCTACAAGAAGCACTGCCTGAACATCAAGCAAAAAGTGGGTGCTAGAAACAATATCATACGAAAGCTGACTGGCACAACCTGGGGATCACAACCAGATACAGTGAAGACATCGGCCCTTGCGCTGTGCTACTCTGCTGCTGAGTACGCATGCCCAGTGTGGAACACATCTCACCATGCTAAAACAGTGGATGTGGCTCTTAATGAGACATGCCGCATTATCACGGGGTGTCTGCGCCCTACACCACTGGAGAAATTACACTGCTTAGCCGGTATTGCACCACCTGACATCCGCCGGGAAATAGCAGCCAATAGTGAAAGGACCAAGGCAGAGACATCTCCAGCTCATCCCCTGTTTGAGTATCAACCAGCACGTCAACGGCTTAAATCTAGAAATAGTTTTCTAAGATCTACAGAGACACTCTCTGGAACACCTCAACAAGCGAGAGTCCAAAAGTGGCAGGCTCAAACCCAGCACCTCAACCCATGGCTGATACCAGATGAGAGACTTCCCCTGGGCACACAGAAGAAGACTGGGTGACTTGGAAGGCGCTGAACAGACTGTGCTCTGGCACCACGAGATGCAGAGCCAACCTTCAGAAATGGGGCTACAAAGTGGAATCCTCGACATGCGAGTGCGGAGAAGAGCAAACTACAGACCACCTGCTGCAATGCAACCTGAGCCCTGCCACATGCACAAGGGAGGACCTTCTTGCGGCAACACCAGAAGCATGCCAAGTGGCCAGATACTATTCAAAGGACATCAACTACCATACTCACAAATTTTGTAATCTGCTTGTTTTGCTTTGTTCTGTTAGAAATGTAACATAATTTGACTGGTTGTTCTGACACGACAAATAAATACTATTTATTTATTTATTTATTTATCACTAGCTTGGGGACTGTAACATTGCCAGGGCTCTGCCTTATTTAGGTAGAGATTAATCAAACTCCCAGTTTGATCAAACAGTTTTATTAAAACAGCACTTACTTGCTGGCTGTTTATATAGTCCAAAATATAAAACACAAAGATAGCACTCAGCTACAGAATAAACAAAAACTGATAGCAAAAATAACTTCGTAGTCAAAAGGGTCCAGTCCAGTGGTCAAACACTGAGAGTTCAATAAACAAAGTCCAGGGATCAAGAGTCTATACCGTAGTCCAAAGCCAGTCCAAAGGTTCAAGGTTCCAGGGTTCCAAGATCACAGGAGACAGGTCAGGATACCGAAAATCCAACAGACCTGGGGGAAAAACCAGCAGCATCCACCACCAAAATGCAACAGATACCTTTCTCCCAAAGATCAGACTCAAGGTTAGCTCCTTAAATCCAGTAACACCCAGCTGCAACCTATCTCCTGCACACCTCCACCCCTAATTGCTTTCGTCCACAAACTCCCACTAATCCCCTAGAACTAATTACCTAACCCTCTAGAACTACCTACCTAATTACCTAACTCTCTAGAACTAATACTCACATTAACCCTTCCATCACCATCAACTGCAGAACATATGACAGGGACCCGGCACTGCCCGGGTTATTAGAGAAAGTGGGTAATGGGGGTTCTGTATGCCAAGTTTGGCCTTTATTGGTCATTGGATGATGGTTGCATTGCTTTCAGGAAGTAAGTGAAGGTACTTGAAGTCCTATCATCCATGGTCCACCCTCCTCCAAACAGCAGCAGGATATAGAGTGGGGTCATGGGGGCTCTGTGTGCCAAGTTTGGTCTTCAACAGTCATTGGATGAGGGTCGCAGTGGTTTCAGTATTTGAGTGAAGGTACTGCAAGTCCCATCATCCATGGTCCACTCTCCTCCAGACTGCAGCAGGAGGTAGAGTGGGTCATGGGGGCTCTTTGTGCCAATTTGGTCTTGAACAGTCATTGGATGAGGGTCGCAGTGGTTTCAGTAATTGAGTGAAGGTACTTGAAGTCCCATCATCCATGGTCCATCCCCCTTAGAACTGCATCAGGATGTAGAGTGTGTCATGAGTACTCCTTGTGCCATTGTAGGGGCTACAGTGTTCTGTGGGAAGTGAATCGGATGAAAGTACTGCAAATCCCATCATTTGTGGCCCATCCTGCCCTGAACCACACCAGGTTTTAAAGTGGGCCATTGGGCCTCTGTGTGCCAAGTTTGGTCCTGATCCGTCATTGGTGTGAGCCACAGTGCTCTAAGAAAATGAGTTAAAGTACTGCAAGTCCCATCATCCATAGTCCATCCTCGCTCAAACTACACCAGGATGTAGAGTGGGTCTTGGGGGGTCTGTGTGCCAAGTTTGGTCTTGTTCTGTCGTTGTTGGGGGCCACAAGATGTTTTGGACTTCCACTCCAACCATTCCTGACAGCCTCAGGCCCCTTTCCTTTTCCCTCTACTACCTCAGAATGTTGAGGCTGGCCAATCAGAGACCATATGCAAATTGTACCACAGTGGCAGCCAATCAGAACGCTGCCACATACACCTCCCTCCACATACAAACACTGACTTTTATTGTATACATAGACTAGCTTGGGGACCTAGCAATGCCTGGGTTATTTGAAAAAGGCATTGTGTCTTCCACTGCTCTAATAATATGCTAGGACCAGGCTGTAGCGCAGCTAGTTAGTAGCCAGCTGCATTAAATCACTACTGACCAAGAGGTCATGAGTTCGAAGCCAGCCCAGGTCGGAGTGAGCCCCCAACCATAAATAGTCTAGCTTGCTGTTGACCTATGCAGCCCAAAAGACAGTTGCATCTGTCAAATAGGAAATTTATTATTTTATTTATTTATTTATTTACGACATTTATATGCCGCCCTTCTTACCCCAAAGGGGACTCAGAGCGGCTTAAAAGATATATATACATACAATATATTATATTATTAGCATAGTATGATATCAGTATTAATTATTACTACATTGTATTATACCATTATATTGTAATATTATTAGTACTATTACATGTAATATAAATATATAATTATAATATCATATTATTATTCGTATCAGTCATTGGTGAGGGTCGCAGTGGTCTCAGGAAGTGAGTGAAGGTACTGCAAGTCCCATCATCCATGGTCAATCCTCCTCCAAACAGTATCAGGATATAGAGTGGGTCATGGAGGCTCTGTGTGCTAAGTTTGGTCTTGATCTGTCATTGGTGAGGGTCGCAGTGGTCTCAGGAAGTGAGTGAAGGTACTGCAAATCCCATCATCCATGGTCAATCCTCCTCCAAAGAGTACCAGGATGTAGAGTGGGTCATGAGGGTTCTGTGTGCCACGTTTGGTCTCGAGTAGTCATTTTTTCTGGCTTGCAGTGATCTCAGGAAGTGAGTGAAGGTACTGTAAATCCCATCATCCATGGTCCATCCTCCTCCAAACTACACCAGGATGTATAGTGGGTTGTGGGGGTTCTGTGTGCCAAGTTTGGTCTTGATCAGTCATTGGATGAGTGTCGCAATGGTCTCAAAAAGTGAATGAAGGTACTGCAAGTCCCATCATCCATGGTCAATCCTCCTCCAAACAGTATCAGGATATAGAGTGGGTCATGGAGGCTCTGTGTGCTAAGTTTGGTCTTGATCTGTCATTGGTGAGGGTCGCAGTGGTCTCAGGAAGTGAGTGAAGGTACTGCAAATCCCATCATCCATGGTCAATCCTCCTCCAAAGAGTACCAGGATGTAGAGTGGGTCATGAGGGTTCTGTGTGCCACGTTTGGTCTCGAGTAGTCATTTTTTCTGGCTTGCAGTGATCTCAGGAAGTGAGTGAAGGTACTGTAAATCCCATCATCCATGGTCCATCCTCCTCCAAACTACACCAGGATGTATGGTGGGTTGTGGGGGTTCTGTGTGCCAAGTTTGGTCTTGATCAGTCATTGGATGAGTGTCACAATGGTCTCAAAAAGTGAATGAAGGTACTGCAAGTCCCATCATCCATGGTCTATCCTCCTCCAAACAGTACCAGGATATAGAGTGGGTCATGGGGGCTCTGTTTGCCAAGTTTGGTCTTGATTTGTAATTGGTGAGGGTCGCAGCGGTCTCATGAAGTGAGTGAAGGTACTGCAAGTCCCATTGTGCATGGTCAATCCTCCTCCAAACTGCAGCAGGATGTAGAGTGGGTCATGGGGGCTCTGTGTGCCAAGTTCGGTCCAGGTCCGTCATTTGTGACGGTCGCAGTGGCCAGTGGAAGTGGCAGCCAATCAGAAAGCTGCGACACACACACACATACATACAAACATTCACTTGTGTTATATATATAGATATAGATAGTGCAGAATGGCATGCTCCATGTTGGTTGCGCGTATCCAGTTTGTGAATGGTTCCTCTCCCTTGGCAAACGTTTGCGCTTAATGTCTTTTTCGGCGCTTCCAAAACCCAAACGCAACCATTGTGCCAGAGGGACCGGAATAGAAACGGGGACGATGGGGAACGATAAGAGCCGTAGAAATCACCGCTTTGTTCTCTTGTTGCCATAGGGACGCAAAATGCTTTTCCAAAGAGACGAATATGAATAAGATATTTGCTGCACAATGCATCCTGCGGAAAATGTCAGGGAAGATTTGGAAATGCGAGCGGCGCAAGGCAGGAAGGACAGCAAAGAGTCTGCTTGGTCAACACTGAAATAGTAGTAGTAGTAGTAGTAGTAGTAGTAATAATAATGACACAATATGAGGATTTAAAGATCGAACTGGAAAGACTCTGGCACAAGCCAGTCAAGGTGGTCCCAGTGGTGATCAGCACACTGGGTGCAGTGCCTCAAGACCTTGGCCTGCACTTAAACACAATCAGCGCTGACAAAAATCATCGTCTGTCAGCTGAAAAAGGCCACTCTACAGGAATCTGCATGCGTTATTCGCCGATACATCATTCAGTGGACCACGTTTGGCACAAAAACCTGATACTCCCAAATTTGAATACTGGTGGGATTGGGGAGGAGGGATTTGATTTTGTCATTTGGGAGTTTTAGTTGCTGGGATTTATAGTTCACCTACAATCAAAGATCATTCTGAACTTCACCAATGATGGCATTGAACCAAACTTGGCACACAGAACTCCCATAACAACAGAAAATACTGGAAGGATTTGATCTTGAGTTTTGGAGTTGTAGTTCACCTACATCCAGAGAGCACTGTGGACTCAAACAATGATGGATCTGGACCAAACTTGGCACAAATACTCAATATGCCCAAATGTGAAAACTGGTGGAGTTTGGGGACAATAGACCTTGACATTTGGGAGTTGTAGTTGCTGGGATTTATAGTACACCTACAATCAATGAGCATTCTGAATGCCACCAATTATGGAATTGAACCAAATGCCCAGCAGAAAACCCTAGAAGGGTTTGGTGGGTGTTGACCTTGAGTTTGGGAGTTGTAGTTCACCTACATCCAGAGAGCACTGTGGACTCAAATAATGATAGATCTGGACCAAACTTGGCACGAATACACAGTATGCCCAAATGTGAACACTGGTGGAGTTTGGGGAAAATAGACCTTGACATTTGGAAGTTGCAGTTTCTGGGATTTATAGTACACCTACAATCAAAGAGCATTCTGAACTCTAGCAACAATAGAATTGAACCAAAGTTGCCCTTTTCTCCCCTCTTGGAAGAACTTTATAAGTCCCACTGCCTTAAGAAAGCTCAGAGCATTCTTGGGGATCCAGTTTTGGAGTTGTAGTTCACCTACATCCAGAGAGCACTGTGGACTCAAATAATGATAGATCTGGACCAAACTTGGCACGGATATTCCATTTGCCCAAATGTGAACACTGGTGGAGTTTGGGGAAAATAGACCTTGACATTAGGGAGTTGCAGCTGCTGGGAGTTATAGTTCACCTACAATCAAAGAGCATTCTGAACTCTAGCAACAATAGAATTGAACCAAAGTTGCCCTTTTCTCCCCTCTTGGAAGAACTTTATAAGTCCCACTGCCTTAAGAAAGCTCAGAGCATTCTTGGGGATCCAGTTTTGGAGTTGTAGTTCACCTACATCCAGAGAGCACTGTGGACTCAAACAATGATGGATCTGGACCAAACTTGGCACGGATATTCCATTTGCCCAAATGTGAACACTGGTGGAGTTTGGGGAAAATAGACCTTGACATTAGGGAGTTGCAGCTGCTGGGAGTTATAGTTCACCTACAATCAAAGAGCATTCTGAACCCCACCAATGATAGAACTGGGTCAGACTTCCCACACAGAACCCCCATGACCAATAGAAAATACTTAAGGCCATCCAGTCCAACTCCCTTCACTGGGGCATGAAAACGTAATCAAAGCCCTCCTGACAGAGAGCCATCCAACCATAGATATAGACAGATATATATGATTCACACAGAGAGAGATATAGTATCATAGATTTGAAAGGGACCCCTAAAAAAGGACAATGATATGTTGCATGATCCAGAGCAGGCAAACCAGATAATCTCCACTTCAACACTGGCAAAGAAACAACAAGAAATACTAGGTTCTTGTGGGTTTTTTCGGGCTATAGAGCCATGTTCTAGAGGCATTTCTCCTGACGTTTCGCCTGCATCTATGGCAAGCATCCTCAGAGGTGAGAAGAAATACTGTTTACCCACAAGCATCAAGACATTACATAGATTAGAAATCAACACCTTCTTATTATTTTCCAGATCACCAGACTGGGCCATAGCAACACGTGGCAGGGGACGGCTAGTAGTAGTAGTAGTAGTAGTAGTAGTAGTAGTAATGAAACAATCTGAGGATTTAAAGATCAAACTGCAAAGTCTCTGGTACAAGCCAGTCAAGGTGGTCCCAGGGGTGATCGGCACACTGAGTGCAGTGCGTAAAGACCTTGGCCTGCACTTAAACACAATCGGCACTGACAAAATTAACATCTGCAAGCTGCAAAAGGCCACCTTACTGGGATCTGCACACATTATTTGCTGATACATCACACAATCCTAGACACTTGGGAAGTGTCCAACATGTGATATTGTGTTTTCTGATGGTCTTTGGTGACCCCTCCGACGCCACCCTCGTGACCGCCCAGGGGTCCCGACTGCTAGGTTGAGAAACGCTGCTTCAGAATGATGTCTGTGTTTCCATAATACGAAATGTCTGGGGTAATAGAAGACTCTCTTTCTGGGAAAAGAAATTACAAATGAGTACATAATGTTACCTTCGGTGCTTGAGATGGAACGTCAAGGAAATTGTTTAAAAACCTGCCCTGAAAGCTTGATGTTTGCAAAAGGAGTTTGTTTTAACCCTTACCTTCTCTTTATTCCACACTTCTAGGTTTCTCATGAATTTGCCATTAACTTCAACCCCACCAACCCCTTTTGCCTTGGTAAGTAACAACAACAACAACAACAACAACAACAACAGTCCTTCCTGGAGGGACGAACTCAGATGGTGAAGCTGGGAGACGCCTGCTCTGACCCCTGGCCTTTGACCTGTGGGGTCCCGCAAGGCTCCATTCTGTCGCCCATGCTTTTTAACATCTACATGAAACCGCTGGGAGAGGTCATCCGGAGTTTTGGAGTTGGGTGCCATCTCTACGCGGATGATGCACAACTCTACTACTCCTTTCCACCTAATTCCAAGGAGGCGTCTCAGGTGCTAGACGAGTGCCTGGCCGCTGTGTCGATCTGGATGAGGAAGAACAAGCTGAAGATCAATCCTGACAAGACAGAGGTCCTCCTGGTCGATCGTAAACCAGATCGGGGTATAGGGTGGCAACCTGTGTTGGACGGGGTTACACTCCCCCTGAAGCCACAGGTCCGCAGTTTGGGTGTCCTCTTGGATTCTTCGCTCACACTTGAGGCTCAGGTGTCGGCGGTATCCGGGAGGGCCTTTGCGCAACTGAGACTTGTGCGCCAACTGCGACCATACCTCGTGAAGGCTGATCTGGCTGGGGTGGTCCACGCCTTGGTCACCTCTAGAATGGATTACTGCAATGCGCTCTACGTGGGGCTGCCCTTGAAGACGGCTCGGAAACTGCAATTGGTCCAGCGGGCAGCAGCCAGGATGCTAACTGGAGCTCATTATCAAGAGAGGTCTACCCCTCTGTTTAAGGAGCTCCACTGGCTGCCATTTATTTTCCGAGCCCAATTCAAGGTGCAGGTGCTCACCTACAAAGCCCTAAACGGTTTGGGACCACCCTACCTGCGTGACCGCATCTCCATCTACGAACCCACACGCTCGCTTCGATCATCTGGGGAGGCCCTACTCGTGATCCCACCTACGTCACAAGCGCGCTTGGTGGGGACACGGGATAGGGCCTTCTCCGTGGTGGCCCCCCGACTCTGGAACGCCCTTCCAAAAGATCTCCGACAGGCCCCTACATTAGCAGTTTTCAGAAGGAATTTGAAAACTTGGTTGTTCCGTTGTGCCTTCTCGGATTAGGAATCCCCATCCCAAGTCCTAGTAGCACTTTAGTACAATTAACATCGCTGCACACCACACTTTTAATTCCCTACGCCCCTCCTGCCATCTCAGCACTTTTAACCCTGTACCCCTTTACGCCGGCCGAACCAGTTTTAATATGTCTTGATGTATTGTTATTGCTGTTTTGCTTAACTGTTGATTTGCTTTGTTATTGCTATGTTATGTTTTCTTATATTGTGTTTGTGGCTTCGGCCTGTGTAAGCCGCATCGAGTCCTTCGGGAGATGCTCGCGGGGTACAAATAAAGTTAATAATAATAACAACAAAAAGTGTGCTGTCATGCACTGGGCCTATAGCAATTGGCTTTTGAACAGGATGTGCTCTTTGTGCCCAGCGGGAAGCCGGGGTGCCTCAGCTGAGAGGCCCTAAGGATTTTCCTATACAAAGTCTTTAGAAGCTTGAAAAGTTTAACAAAGTCCTTTATTATTGCTTAGGTCTTCAACAAATTAAACAAATGCTTCTCAGATCTTCAACAGGTCAAACAAATACTTCAAGGCTTTGACTCAACTGGTGGCTTTCTTAATCTTGTCCACAAGGGACAGGCAACTGGCTTCGTGAACTGTTTCTTTTCTTTAAGAGGAAAACTCTTTTTAACCCCTCCTTGGGCAATCTACTTTCTAAATTTTGCTGGTGTGGGCCCTACTCCCGGCTCCAAACTGCTTCTTGGGCCCCGAGTAGACCTACCAGTCAAGGATTTGGAGATTCTCCAGCTGGAGACCTTTGGAATTGTTTCCTCCTGGAATTTCGTAAGAAACGAAGCTTCTCTACAGGTGGAGCTGATTCACGTCCTGTAGCTAAGCTTTCAACTGTAAGACTGAGCTAAAATGGCTCCCTTTCCTTCCCGAACCCTGGGGAAAGGGGTGGAACTAAAAAACCCAACGATGATAGGCAGGTGGCTGCAAACCAAGGGAAGCCACCTTATTGCAAAATGCATGGAACTTTGGAATACATGCAAATACTCAAAGAAAGAAAAGGAAGTTGGAGCTCCTGGTACAGCCATACCAGCACAACAACACTTTATTTATATTCCGCCCTATCTCCCCAAAGGGACTCAGGGGAGATCATAGTACACATACACGGCAAACATTCAATGCAATTTTGGATAGACAGGACAGAGACAGACGGAAGAGAAAGGAGGTATGTTGTGTTGACGACATCCAGCTTTTTGGTACTTTGGAGGTTGTGCTCAAAACCAGCCACAGAAGAGTGCTGTTGCTCTATTCTCTAAGACAGTAGTTCTCAACCTGTGGGTCCCCAGATGTTTTGGGTTTCAACTCCCAGAAATCCTAACAGCTGATAAACTGAATGGGATTTCTGGGAGTTGTAGGCCAACCCACAGGTTGAGAACCACTGCTCTAAGACGAAGATCCATCAGGACTTCCTCCTTCCTTTTGGTCGCCAGGCATTTTCTGATCATTTTTTTATGGTGTCCTAAAATACCTCCCTCGCTTGTTTTAGCGGTACCTAATTTCTGTAATCACAGCTCAAGCTGCTAAGGTCAACAGTAAGCTGGGCTGACAGTCCGGAGCTCACACCAACCCAGGATTTCGAACTGGCAACCTTTCGGTTGGTAGATCTTACCATTATAAGCTGAGGCACCCAATTTTACTACAAAAAATGGGGAAAACTTAATTGACTTGAGTATAAGCCAAAGGTGGGAAATGCAGAAGCTACTGGTAAATTTCAAAAGTTAAAATAAAAAATAGATACCAATAAAATTACATTAATTGAGGCATAGTAGGTTAAATATTTTTAAATATTTACATAAGACTGCAATTTAAGATAAAACTGTCCAGCTCTGATTAAATCATTATTCTAACCTTCTTCAATGTAAATGCGCTTACGTATCCTTCCAATAATAATCAATATAGTAAAATAATAAATGTAGTAACAGCAATAATAGAGTAAAATAATAAATGTAATAATAATAGAGTAAAATAATAAATATAACAACAATAATAAGAGTAAAATAATACATGTAATAATAATAATGTACTGTTTTTAATGATGATTTATGTATAAAGTGTGGTTTTACTATTGTAGTTGTAAGGCATTGAATTATTGCCATTATCTATGTGTAAACCGCTTTGAGTCCCCCCAGGGGTATTTTTTTTTATTTGTCATGTCAGGTCAACCAGTCAAATTATATTACATTTCTAACAGAACAAAGCAAACAAACAGACAAAATACAAAACTTGTGAGTCTGGTAGCTGATTAAATGTCCTTTGACCAGTATCTGCCCACTTGGAGTGCCTCTGGTGTTGCTGCAAGAAGGTCCTCCATTGTGCATGTGGCAGGGCTCAGGTTGCATTGCACCAGGTGGTCAGTGGTTTGCTCCTCTCCACACACGCATGTCGTGGACTCCACTTTGTGGCCCCATTTCTGAAGGTTGGCTCTGCATCTCGTGGTGCCAGAGCGCAGTCTGTTCAGTGCCTTCCAAGTCGCCCAGTCTTCTGTGTGCCCAGGGGGGAGTCTCTCATTTGGTATCAGCCATTGATTGAGGTTCTGGGTTTGAGCCTGCCACTTTTGGACTCTCGCTTGCTGAGGTGTTCCAGCAAGTGTCTCTGTAGATCTAAGAAAACTATTTCTTGATTTAAGTCGTTGACGTGCTGGCTGATACCCAAACAAGGGATGAGCTGGAGATGTCACTGCCTTGGTCCTTTCACTATTGGCTGCTACTTCCCGGTGGATCAGGTGGTGCAATACCGGCTAGGCAGTGTAATTTCTCCAGTGGTGTAGGGCGCAGACACCCGTGATAATGCGGCATGTCTCATTAAGAGCCACATCCACTGTTTTAGTGTGGTGAGATGTGTTCCACACTGGGCATGCATACTCAGCAGCAGAGTAGCATAGCGCAAGGGCAGATGTCTTCACTGTGTCTGGTTGTGATCCCCAGGTTGTGCCAGTCAGTTTTGTATGATGTTGTTTCTAGCACCCACTTTTTGTTTGATGCAGTGCTTCTTGTAGGTAAGAACACGGTCCAGAGTGACTCCCAGGTATTTGGGTGCGCTGCAATGCTCCAGTGGGATTCCTTCCAGGTCATCCTCAGAGCTCGGGATGCTTGTCTGTTCTTGAGATGAAAGGCACATGTCTGTGTTTTAGATGGGTTGGGGATCAGCTGGTTTTCCCTGTAATAGGCAGTAAGAGCACCTAGAGCTTCGGAAAGCTTCTGTTCTACCATCTCAAAGCTCCCTGCTTGAGCGGTAATGGCACGATCATCAGCATAGATGAAACTCTCTGTCCCTTCTGGCAGTGGCTGGTCATTTGTGTAGATGTTGAACATGGATGGAGCAAGCACACTCCCCTGAGGCAGGCCGTTCTTCTGTTTCCGCCATCTGCTTCTCTGGCCCTGGAACTCAACAAAAAAGCTCCTGTTTTGTAGCAGGTTTCCTATGAGGCGGGTGAGGTGGTAGTCCTTTGTGATATTATACATTTTTCTCAGGAGGAGGCGGTGGTTTACGGAGGAAAGCGGTATATAAATACTGTAAATAATAATAATAATAATAATAATAATAATTATTATTATTATTATTATTATTATTATTATTGCTGGTGATTTACCAGCTGTTCTAAAGCCCGGCCCAATTGGCTTCTGACACAATTTTTAAAAGTCCTATAGCACGGACATAAATAACTTTAATTTCCAACTATGAGGCTGGAAATGATTCCATCATCTGTCCATTGGGTAATTTAAAAAGGTAAAAGCATTTGAAAAGGCAATGCAGCAGCAACAGCAACTGCAGCAGTTTTAGCAGATCAGAAGCTTCTTGAGCACAGCAGTAGAGTGAATAAACATAAGCAATTACATTAAGCAACACGATATTTTGTCCTGGGTTAGAAATCTCATTTCCTAACCGGTTTGATCATAAAAAAAACATGGAAAAAGTTTATGAAACTGCAAAAACTTTGTTTATGGGGCATCATATGGCACATTTTGCTCTAGTTTTCAATGCCATTTTGGATAGACAGGACAGAGATAGACAGAACAGAAAGGTCAACATTTTCTAATGTTACACAATTAAGCTGTATTTCTGGCATTGGAGTGGGATTGGCTGGTGACTGCTGGAAGAGCACTTTGGTTTTCTCAATGTTTAATGATAAGCCGAGCTTCTGGTATGGTTGTGTTTAGAGTGGCTTGTAGTTCTTCTTCTGAATGCGCACTGACGACGTTGTCATCGGCATACTGGAGTTCTATAACAGATGTTGTTGTAACCTTGGTTTTGGCTTTCAGTCTGCTGAGGTTAAACCGCTTGCCATCTTTCTGAATGAGGAAGTACTCCATCGGCGTCATAAGTGGACGGTGACACTGATGGAGGCTGGAATTCAAAAAGCATACCCTCTCATGAAGCTGGAAAAGTTAAAAAGCCTATGTGTCTCTGTCTATATATGTTGTGTGTCTGTGGCATTGGATGTTTGCCATGTATGTGATCCGCCCTGAGTTCCCTGCGGGGTGAGAAGGGCCGAATATAAATACAGTAAATAAATAAATAAATGGGGCTCGCTTGAGTTTATGCATCATCGGAGAGCCCTCAAAACTTAACTTGTCCTCCTTTCTGCTTCCTTAAAGGTGTAGAAGGCATTGTCCAAGCCTACTCCAGCTGCCTGCCGCACATACGCTTCTACGGACCAACCAACTTCTCCCCCATCATAAACCACGTGGCCCGATTCGCAGCCCAGGCCACGCAGCAGCAGTCTGCAACTGTAAGTCGAAGCATATTCTTTATCAGCGGTTATGTCTCCAATCTATATAAATAAAAATGTAAAGTTCGTTTGTAGGATTAACAGAACTCAAAAACCACAGGGCGAATTGCCACCAAATTTGGACACAAGACAACTCTCAGGCCAACAAGTGACCATCACTCATAAAAACACTGAGAAACATAGCAGAAGGGACTTAAAAAGCTAAAAAAAAAACCCACATATATACACAAACACACACATATACACAAATATATATACACACAGATGCATATACACACACACAAAATACATATACACAAAAAGGGGGAAGGGAGGGAGGAAGGGAGGCAGGGAGGAAAGGAGGGAAGGAGAGACGGAAGGAAAGAAAGGTAGAGAAGGAAGGAAAGAGAGAAGGAAATAAAAAGGTGAAAGAAGGAAGGAAAGAGGGAAGGAAGGAGAGAAGGAGTGAAAGAAAAAAAGAAAGAGAGAGGGAGGGAGGGAAGGAAGGAAAGGGGGAGAGAAAGAGGGGAAAAAGGAGGGAAGGAGAGACAGAAGGAAAGAAAGGTAGAGAAGGAAGGAAAGAGAGAAGGAAATAAAAAAGTGAAAAAAGGAAGGAAAGAGGG